TGATATTTCTTAAGATTATTATCTGGTGATAACCGAATTGAAAATGAGGCTAATGGAAGCACTGGACATCTGGACAAGCAAGATAGTGAATGTCTAACATGGCTCTTTGTTGAGACATCGACAAACTTAATGAATTCAAGATGGTCTTCAGCAATAAGTTCCAGGTGTTTCAAGATCTACCATCGAGAACATTTGGAAAGAAATCAAAGAAGCAATAACTTCAGTGTCATCAGGTTCTGGAACACAAGAAGCACCATCACAAATAATGGGTTTTGTTCATACTCTGGATAATATTTAGCAGTGGTCACTTCTCTGTTGCCTAAGTCGTGAAAGAATACCTCTTGAGTTATCTGAAAGAAAACTGGGTTAGTTTTTAGGGCAACATACGAGCGTGACCGTAAGGCATAAGGGACAACTTCGTGATATTGATCACAGGTTTTTTTGAAAGCAGTTTTGATTTGTTCGCTCCGTACTTAAAGAGACCTTACCACTAAAAAGGAAATTTCTAAGGTGAGGTGAAGTATATTCTTTTGAGAGTCGATCTACTCTAGCATTTCTGTTATCAGATAACATCTCTGAAGATGTTGATTCTCTAAGTAAAGCACCGTACTGACTTCACAACTCTGTATAAGTCGTCAGTATGACTTCGCTCGAAGACCTTAGGTTGATATTCTTAGCTTTATTGCTCTACAACCGATCTGTCTGACAAAGTAGGACCTAAATGAATAAATGTTTCATACAACGTAATTCGATCAGTGTGATATCAATATGTAAGTACAACCTCCAAGTTAGGGTAGTGGATTTGGTCAGGCGGACAAGGCCGATTAATATAAATAGAAAAAGTCACTTTTCTCAACCCTGTTAATCATTGATGCCATCATGACGTTAGTAAAACCACAAGAAATTCAGTTAAATAATGCACAGATAGGAACAGTTCTCCTTCATCATTTTGAAACCTTACCGCTTCGGCTTCAAGATGTCCGACGACTCACTCGGTTCGATCACTGCTGTCACCAGAATTTTTTAACGTTATGTATCGAAATTGCGAAAGTAATTTCATGATCTGGTAATTTGCACTTAGGTGTAGTGATTACAATCCAAGAAATTTCGCAATCGCAAAAAGTAGCAACAGCATCCTGGACATGTACGAATTATGGCCCAGCAGCTAATATATCGTGCACTATTCATCAATCCTGTGACTGGGTAGAAAAAAGGCAATTTATTACGTTACAGTGATATTAAAGACAGCTGATATCTGTCGATACATTACAACCTTTTGGGTTATGAGGACCACGCGGCTCAGCGACGCTATAGACATATCTTTATACCAAAGACAGTGGTGCTCCTCTTGTAATTTCCAATAACAATTTACAATAAGGTCAGATTAGCCTTCTTTCAGCTAAACTATATCGTTTCTGAAATACTACTATCATCCATTTATTTACTGACTGAATGACTGCTCCTCCTTGTATTTACCCCACAATATTATCGTTACATTTGGTGCGGCTCACTCTTTTTGGTGTTAAGATGATAAAGGCCAAGTGCGAAAACAAGGAAAATAGATTTGGTTTACTTAAAAGACGTATTCTATTCTTCACAATAACAACACAACAAAAGTTATGGATGTGTATGAGTAGACTTCGAACCCGTTACTTTCACACGATTGCTAGAATCACAACAACGAATTTACTTGCATAAAAAAATTCATAAGAGGAAAACAAATTTGCCTTGTCTTACTCTAAACGAACCAATCGTATAAATGATACCATAAATTATTTATTAAATTCCATAATAACTTTGTATAATATATGATTATTAACTGTTTATTTTTCCTCTGAACTACATTCCGTTCAAACATATGAGAATAAAACAATTAATTTTGTAAATAATTTATTACAGTTTCTGTTTTAAAACTTCCTTAATTATTCTACAATATCATAATTTAGTTTTCAGGTCACTGAATCATTTAGTCATTAAACTGTTAAAAAAATATATTGAGGACAATTATTCAATATGAAACTTTCTAAAAGAGCTACTCGGGCACAAACTGACTGCGCTAAATTCGTTAGGTTGTTTCATTATCAATCACATTATAGAGTATTTCCTCTTATAAACCGCAAATTATAATCTAACGTTAAGCAATCAGATATATATACATCAACATGATTAAGTGCTTCGCAATCCCAGACGGTATATAATTTGCATGTTAAGTCAACTGATTAAATGCGAAAAAATTATTAAAATTAAACAGTCATATCGAAATATCGACATAAAGCTAGTCAAATGATAAACCAAAGTGAGAAAAGCATTTGCAGAAAATAAAAATGTGCGACCACTGTGGGTAACAACAATAACAGTAACAACAAAAAGGCCTTTATTACTGATTTTACAGTAGAAAGTAGTACAATTAAAAAAGAATAAGCCCATGAAGAAGAAAGGAGGAAGCGACATAACAAAATAAATGTGTAAAAGGGAATTCAAAGTGATGATATCATACCATTGAAACTACGAACCAATCAGAGTTAGATAACAATTGAAAACGTGGCAGCGTTGAATGACCCTTTCGTTTATGTATGGAACTTTCAGCAGTGACCATCCACGATCCCATAGGCAGAAGTCGAACCCAGAAACATCGACCTCACAAGCGGGTGTTTATAATATGGACCACTGGGTTGGCATCCAACGGTGTTAATGTCTAAATTCAATTAGTTTCCACAGATTTTCTAGCCGACTGTAAAGGCTTTTGAAGTGTGGAGCTAACACATGTGTAACAGACCTCAAATAGTTGTTTCTCGGACTCTACAATCGCACTCCAAAACTACTGAGAGCAAAACCAAGCCAGATTCTTATTCACGTCCCTCAGGAAGAAGTATATTCTGACGGTGTGGTTAGCCGGAAAGTGAAAGTTACCGTCTTGAATCCGACAACGCTTCTGGCATTGCTAGTTCAGGTGAATTATTAGTTCCAAAAGTAGAACCGGTTCTCTGAGACTGGATTCTAGTAGAAAGTTGCCTCCGTGTTGTCTTAATGAACGAGATAACAAGAAATCCGAAAGATAGGGACACTCGCTGTTGTCTCCATTTAAGTATCCATATAATGCAGTTTAGATGTATTAAAATACAAATTTTAGAGAAAGCTTTCCAATCTCCTTCAAAATGCTAGATGCCCTGGTGTAGTAATAGTGACTGATGATTTTAATGTTCAAATAGGTAAATTAGGAGAAACTGAAAGGCGTCTTGGTAGATATTACGGTGTCGCACCGCATCGAAAGAAAGTTACAGCAAGGAAACCCCTTAGAGTTACACTTGACCATAAAAAGGCCAAGAGTACACTTCAACAGCATTTTAAAAAAAAAGAGACAATTGTTTATGTGGTGCCCACCGCGAGGCAACTTGTAATGATACTCAAAAATCTGTGGAAACAGCAGTGAAACCTGTTAGTAAGGTAAATCGAAAGGTTAGGGAGGAGAAATGGATATCACTATCATCAACTGGAGTGACAGACGCCCAGAAACTCACTCCGCCTGCCACTGAACACGGCGAGCAGCGGGGGCAGCTTAAACACAAGTTGATAAAAAGTCTAGACAATAATCGCGAACAGTGGTGGTTAGCGAAAGTAAAAGAGATGGAAAAGACAGTGGCGATGGGTAACAGTGGACAACTGTTGAGACTTAACAAAGACACTAGAATTAGAGATCCGGCTGTTAGGGAGACTATCTTGGAAAGAGACGGGATTATTATTCACTCTCAAAACCTGGAGATTCGACTGATGGACAGAATACATTGCGAGACAGTTCGTTCATACGTTAGTTACCCACTATCTCCAATCAAACTGAATGGCGAATTGGTGTAAGTCATATAGCTCTCAGAGAGGTTGAAAACGCATAGGCAATCTCAAACGAGGGATGGCAGCAGGACCTGATGGATCAATTATCCAGACTTTAAAGTATAGTGGTCTAGTTTTAACAGGTATTTTGACAAAAATCTTAGCTATAATCTGAACGCAATTCCATCTGACTGGTCCCGATCACTGATTGTTCCAGTACATAAGAAAGGACAAAAGTCCTGTTGTGACAACCATAGAGGAATCAGTCTAACTAACTTAGTATTTAAAATATTAGCTTTATCAATGCATCAATGCATAAATAGAGCTCATGAAGAGCTGACTCGAGAAAACCAGGCTGGTTTCAGGTTTGAATCAGTGAAACAGAGTGCAGTGTTTGAGCGTGTCGATCATTTCACTTATCCCGAGAGTCGCATCGGCATTGGTGGCTGACGCAACCTCAGTAAGGATACAAAAGGCTCGATTGGCCTTTCTTAACTTGTGTCACTTAGGGCATAGGTGAGACATTCGTCAAATGACTAACTAGAGAACAAGTACATTGCACGGAAGTTAGCTCAGTTATACTTTACGGGTGTGAAACATTACTAAGAATATTCGTAGGTTACAGGTATTCGACTGTAGGGGGTTTTCGAAGCAATGTTTTTGTGTTCTGGGAACATCGGGTAAGCAATACTGGGGTTATGAAAAGGGCACCATGTAACGATGAAAAATCTATCGATGAAGTAGTGAATTTTCATCGAAGGATGTTGTTGGGGCATGTGTTACGTACGCCCAAACACCAGCTTCCTCGACGAGCATTGTCTGATGTAGGAGTAGGCTGGAAGAAACCTAGGGGCGGCCAAACCGAAACATGGTACCAGTCCATGGATTGACTGACAACTGAACTGAGCCATGCTAGTAGATGTAAACTACCTGGTTGGGGTCAGCGAACCAATCGTAAGCGGAGGTTAGATACTTTCAATGTCAAAGCTCAAAATCCTTTGGAATAGAGAAAATGCATTCAACTTCAAACTTACGAATTCCTCAGCGATTTATATTTTCTTGAATCGTACCATTGATTATTGAACTGATACTGCTGTTACTCATATATATATATATATATATATATATATATATATAATTAAAAGTATTATTTAATACATTTGAACAAATCTTACTTCATCTAAAATCATAAGTCCCCATTCTTGACTTTTGATCCAATTCATCATACGATCAGCTTCATATGAACGCTTAGCTGAATGTGCAATCATACTATACGTGCTGATGCATATATGTGAGTTTATATTTGGACGATCTTTTGCATCACTAGTAAAACGTAATATTTGACCATCTTCAATAGTAGACCATAATTTAAATTGTGCACGCCATTGTTCGACAGCAACACCACTTGTACACAAAACAAATGTTGGCTTTCTTATTGTACAGGCAGCCGTAACACCAACCTGAAAGAGGAACATACATTTATGAATAAAATATTGATTGGTCAGTCAATCGACCAGGAAAGAGTCAAAAACCAAAGTTACTCAGAATAAATTTCTATCAATATTGGGGAGAAAAGATAATGAATTTAGTCAGAAGAATCAATAAAAGGAAGTCTAGAAGTTTTGGACAGTAGAGCATAAACAGTAATTAAACGTTTGTTAACCCATGTAATAGAAGTAAGCCGAAAAATACTTTTCTGATTCAGAATAACAAGAAACTAAATACTGTTTAATTATATTGGCTTTAATACTACATATTATTTAACTTTCGACTGAAAAAAATCCTAAAAGCACCATATGAAAGACAAAAACAAGTGTTGATGTGACAACTAGTAATCAAAGTGGGACAAAAACGTAAATCAGTGAAAATTTAAAATGAAACACTGAACTACAGGAATGGATGTTGTCTCCTAATATGGCAAATAAAACACTACTACTAATTAGTGTGCCTAACATGAGAAAAATAAAAAAGCCCTGATAAAAATGTGAAAATGGTTATTCATTAGATTTAGGTTTATAATTACAAAAAATATTTTCAAGTCAAAATATTTCTCTCTCGTGCATTAATTTCTCATCACGATAAGCTAGTGAATCAAATCGAAAAGTATGACTGAAAATTATTATTTTCATTCTGTGAAATGTAAATACTGCATCAACAAATAATCCTACACTAAGTAAAATATTACCAACTAGGATATGATCTCAATGAAATGCTCAATAGTGACCATTCAATTATACTTTCATTATGAATTGATTTGACTGTATTGATTCCGAGGAGGAATCGTTTTTCATGAGTGCATTTTTCATACTGTATAATTATCGATATGATAAATTACAGGTTTGCATACAAAACCAATGTATATTTGAATTCAATTATTGAGATCACTAACCGATACCAGATACGATCTCCACAACACCGATACTGAGGATTAGACAATTTAGGCTGCGTAATATTAATAGTATAACTAAATAGTAATGGTACGGGGTTATTTATGAAGCAAGACAAATATATCGCCGGCAGGATGAACGAAGTTACTATCAGTGTTGTTAAAAATGAAATGAAGAAGTGTAAATGGTCAGTCAGTTACAATGTAGAACTTCGTAGGTACGTGCATCACAGTTCAAGTCACCATACCTCATTACCACAGAGAGGCAACTGTTAACTCAAATCCCATAGCAGTAAAGGTAGTAAAAGTAATAACAATGATAAGAAAGATAACGGTCTGATGGTATAATTTAAGAAGCAAAATCTAGTGAAAGATAACGGTGATAAGGAATCGAGAGGATAACGACTTGAGAGAAGCAAACGAATGGATTCACCTGTGACATTGCAAATAGTTTTGAGCCATGTCATTCAACCGTCGGTTACTATCGTCTGTCGAACCCAAACAAGGTATTCTACACTTACTAACATGATTCAGCCCACTTGTCAGTGACTTTATGAATTGTTGTTGTTTTTGTTCGACCCACCACCAACTTTGTACCAACGTAATCCTACATCACAAAACATGATTGATTGATGATTTCAAATGTGTAAAAACACAAACCTCCAAAGCTCTGCCTGAAAATATCGTAACAGTGCTCACTAGTGACCAGTTTCGTGAGAAAATTCTCGGAGTTCTAGTTGAGATGTGACCAATGGAGTTCAACTCTGTCGGGTTTAGGTAGTAACTACCAAAGACAAATGGGCGAGGTCGCGCAAAATCCGTAGATCAATCAGAGTTAGACATTAACACCGTTGGACGCCGGCCCAGTGGTCCGGTGGTTAGGCGTTTGAGCACAAAACCGAAAGTCCCGGGTTCGAATCCTGCGATGTGAAGGAGTCGGGGATTCGCACTGCTGATGAGTCCCATACCGGGACGAAACGGCCGTCCAGTACTTCCAGGTTTCTAATGGTGGTCTAACAATGATTGATTGATGATTTCAAATGTGTAAAATCATAGCTCGTCAAGGCATTCGGGGGTTAGGCATACGCAGCACATGTCCCAATCACCTCAAATGAAGTTTCACTATTGATCTACCATCCTTGCCAAGTACCGTTTTCCTAACACTAGCATTGATTACGCAGTCATCCCAGGGTATATGAGCATTGTTTCTAAGACATATATAATCGAATACTAATAACCTACGAATATCAGCTACTCTTACTGGTCATCTTTCCCAGCAATGAGGTAGGACGGAGAGAAGTGATGCGTAGAAGAACGCCCAACCGCATCTTTCCCTATCACTAGTTCAAGTGCCCGTGCAGGCTAATCCCGAAGCAACATTTTGCTTTCGGGGGGGGGGAACCACATACCGAACAAGCTTGCATTTTTGCTTAGGGTAGTCAGAAGACTCTGCATTTTGTCAGAGTCTTCACCGAATAGAACTATGTCATCAGTATACTCTAAGTAAGCAAGCGTGAATCCTTTTAAAAGGTCACACAAGGACAATGTTAACTCTAAAAGCATGTCGGCAACAAAGTTAGACAAGAATGGAGAGAGTGGAAATCCTTGACAGACACCACTTGAAAAAATTGATTCCGATGACAGTTCACCAAAAGCTCTCACTCGACCAGTAGTTTTAGAGTAGAGAGCCTGTATAAGGTTAATGTACTTCTTTGGTATTTCAATGACAGACACTGCAACAAAACTACACGATCGACAGAGGCGAATGCCTCCTTAAGGTCCAGGAAAACACTCATTAATGGACACCTAAATGTGTCAGAGTTCCAGGACCTGATATGGTGGAAATATGTGGTCCATTCATCCACGTCCGGGTCGGAAACCAGCCTGGTTAAGATATCAGTCAAGATGACCGATAAAACTGGACAACCAATCTTATATATCTCATGGGTAAACCTGTCAGACCCTGCTGCTCTCCTTCGCCTTAGCTTTCCTATAGCTTTTCAACTTCTATAAAGAGTCGGAAGACTCACATCAGTTAGCCATTCAGGATAACTGGAGATCGTAGGGCAATCGAAGTGTGGCTGAAAGTAGCTGAACTGATCCCTAAAGTGTTCTGCCCGTCGATCCAATTTCCTGGATGGAGAATGGATAATAAGGCCATCTTTACTTGAGATAGTCTCACTCACATTCAGGTTCCTAATACCAGTTTCCTTGATGAGCCTGAATAGTTGCCTACTGTTGCTTATCGCATCTGCCTTCTCCATCTCTCTCGCTTTCGCTACGCACCACAGTTCTCGATCACTGCGTAGGCTTTTTATAATCCTGCGCCTAAACAAACTCCGCTCCTCATCGCAGACAGAGCCAGGCGGGATGACTTTTCGAGCATCCATCAGTTCGGCAGATGCTACTGAAACCCACGGTTTCTCCCTAACCTAACGGTTTACATTGCTAGCACATATGATCATTGTTTCCGCAGCCTTTTGGATATCGTTTCAAGGTGCCTCATGATGGAAATTATTTACACAGCTACCTGTTTCTACTAGGTGCTCCTAAAATATATTCTTAGCTATGCTATCATTAAGTTGAACACTAAGAGCTTTACTTGTAGAGTCCTTCCAACTTCTATTAAGCCGCAAAAAAGTACAAGCACGTACTAGAGCATTGTTTGAATCTCAGCATGTGCACCAGAATGAGCTGCAATCTTCAAACGAACCTCTGTATCGATGGCCCCGACAGAAGCTGCTACCTTGACGTGGTGGTCGGAATTGCCAATCGTGATGACCCAACCGAACTATATTGACTGCAACATATGTTCTTGTACGTTCTACCATGCCAGGCTGGTCGATTGGAGAACGGTCAGACTAAAAGCAGCAACTCAAGGTCTGTGAGCGAAGTCTTACTGCTGACTGCAGAGGGGTGTGACAGCAGTAAGGTGTTTGCCTCGGACAACCAGCATCTGCAGCGATACTGCCTTCTCACAAGGAAGGAGAGGCTTAGAAATGATCAAACCTAAAAATGGCGCACCTCATCTTACCTCACGGATTTCCATCTTTATTGGTAAGAGGGCCCACTCAAAAAACCTGTCATAAAAGTCTAGAATGAAGCCATGATCTCAGTAGCATCCACCGAACTGATGGATGTTAGAAAACTCATCCCACCTGGTTCTACACATGATGAAAAACGAGGTTGGCTTAGGTGCAGACTTATAAAAAGTCTACGTAACGACCGTGAACTCAAGTGGGTGGCAAAAGCAAAAGCGATGGAAAAGGCAGCGGCGATCGGCAACAGTAGACAACTTTTCCGACTTATCAAGGAAACTGGTATTAGGAATCCTAGTGTAAGTGAGACTATCTCAGAAAATGACGGGACTATTATTTATTCTCAATCCAGGAGACTGGATCGATGGGCAGAACACTTAAGGGATCAGTTCAACTGGTAACGAGCCACTCTTCAGTTACCCACGATCTCCAGTCATCCTGAATGGCAAATCGACGTAAGTCCCCCTAGTCTTAATGAAGTTGAAAAAGCGTTAGGAAATCTGAAACGAGGACGAGCTGCAGGTCCTGATAGATTGACCCCTGAGATCTATATGTTTGGTGGTCCAGTTTTAGCAGCTAGATTGACTGAGATCTTAGGTAGAATCTGGGAACTGGACGTAATCCCATCCGACTGGTCTCAATCACTGATTGTCCCAATCTATAAGAAAGGACAGAAGTCTTCTTGTGACAATCACAGAGGAATAAGTCCAACTAATATAGTATCTAAAATATTGGCCTCAGTAATACTTCGACGCTTAACGAAAGCTCGTGAAGAGCAAACTCGAGAAAACCAATCTGGTTTTCGACCTGGATGTGGCTGTATAGACCACACTTTCACACTACGACAGGTCCTGGAACACAGACACACATTTAGGCGTCCTACAATAGTTGTTTTCCTGGACCTTAAGGTGGCATTTGACTCTGTGGATCGTGAGGTTCTGTGGCAGTGTCTGTCATTGAAAGGTGTACCAAAGAAGTACATTAACCTTATACAAGCTCTCTACTCAAACACCACTGGTCGAGTGAGAGCTTATGG